AACGTAACCCCATTTCTTTCAGTCTCACCACAGATACGAAGAATCAGGTATGTCAAAGTATATACTTGTACAGTACAGTATATCGGCGCTTCACAGAATGGAAAGGTGAAAGGTTTTCTCATTTCAAGGCCATTTCATACTCTTTCTAAGGCAATGTCAAAGCATGCCACAGAGGATTTTGAGGGACACTATACAATGCGTCATGGACATTGCACGAGTAAAAAACCAAATTTGTTAATTTTCACTGACTTTATATTGTCAGAGAAAAGTTGTACGAAGATCGTTTTGCAATGAGTTCATCTTATTTCCCGTTCACCTGAGCCAGCTATGCTGCTGAAAACTTAAGCAGCAGTCACTTTTCGCGCCAAGTTTATCACTTCCCAATAACTGATTTTTCCTCTTTCATTCATGGGCTCTCTGACTGTCTCAAAAGTTTCCAATGTGAACGACGCGTGATGATTCTAAGATTTTGCAAATTGCTAGTTTCATTTGCATTAGTTTACTGGAGAGAGGAATCAGATGGAATCGCCTATTCCCGTGGTCTATGCAGCAGGGAAGCTCCAGGAAACTTTCAGTTCCTATCATTGCACGAGTCAAGGTCTTGAATGGAAATTAAATGCAGACGGAGAATCTCTTCACACTATCAGATTTGTTGGCTATATCTTTTGCGGTCTCCCTGAATTCATGAATGATCTGTACATTTGTTCCCCTAGGGTTTTATTGCCGGATTGGTGAAATTGGACGAACCGTTAATGAATATAGTCTTGCCGCTATTGGAGGAGATCATAAAGCATTACCCGGAGGGAAGAGCGTTTGTCACAAAGACAGTGGAGGAATTGCTTTTCAAAGGCTACTATCTGCCATTCATTGAAGACGTGGCTTCTTTCTTAATAATGAATTTAACATTATCTGAAGAATTCGTTCAAGACATGCTGAGTCAGCTACTACCACCCGATATGTGGGACTTCCATTTTGCATTCTATCGAGTGAGTTAACATCTGCAGTGAATTCGTCACATTCGATATCTACGATTGAGTGTTAAGAAACCGCTCGCACATTCCCAAATTGCATCTCACAAAATGCTTCCTTGAATTCACGACTTCAAAAGGATATCGCGAGGAACGGGACGGTGGACGGGCCCTACCTTGTTGGAACAGGAGAAGACGATCCCTCCGATTTTGGAAGGATTCATCTCTGGCACGGAGAATCCATGCACTACATGGAGCCTTGGAGTTCGGAGGAGTGCAATGCCATCAACGGCACTGACGGAACTGTCTTCCCTCCATTCGTTGACACGGAGACCCTTCTCTACACTTTTGTAACCGACTTATGCAGGTCACTTTCTTAAGATTTCAAATTCGTGCTGAGAATTCGATGAATGCATTCCACCGATTTATCTAAAACTACTATCATGCTTACTTTATCATACTAAAACTGGCTCCTGCAACGCACTAGATTACAGGAGAAGCTTCCTCGTGTCTTCCATCAACTTCAATGTATTTCTCAAATCTGGTAATTGTCTCATGGTACACTCTTCCCATCTCAGTGGTTATCTGACTGTAGCACTGGATCTATCCGTAAATCAGTGGTGTCTCTCATGGTATTAACCCGTAGATCCCATGCTACAGTAGACTCCGAATATTGGAATACTCGCGGAACCACCGAACTTAATTCTATAATCCGGAGAATTCTAATAACAGAAATTGTATTGAACCGTAAATCGGAATCCGCATGATGGAATAATATTCCATTATGCGAAGTCGACTGCATTTGGATGTTACTCATTTTAGAGTTGCTGATGGAATGGAGAATTCAACGCAATTAGTCGCAGGGCGTTCATTGCGTAGTAGTATTTCAACGAACGCCTTCCTTCCCCTCTGAATATGGAGAATGAAGAATGTTATCCCAAACTAATAACTTATTAAATGCTGTCGAGAACGTTCTGCACGATGGGAAAAGTAATGGCTCTCTTGCTTTTTCGGTGCTAAAGTAGCTAATAGTTTAGATTTTAAAAATGCCAAGGGTCTTTTCTTGATCTGAAGAGGATCAGGAACCTATTAACCCTCATGTTCGAAATTTATTTTTCCCGGGATATCGGAATTGATCAAAGAAAAACCCGAATGCCACGGAACGCGGAATTCACTGCCATTAAGGAGACGATATGAGGAAAGGAACGAAATTGATTATTTTGAGAACCTAAATGATTTTGTTCCTTAACCATAGTTCCTTCCAATCGTGAAATAACGCTTCTCCAAGCCTTACCCGAGATTGCTTTTACTCCATCTATGAATATGCATCTATATATGAAGCTGTAAATCCATCCATGAATAGCAAGCAAATAACTATATTTTAGTCTGTAAGATTATGTTCATATGATGCCCATATTATCACTTTCATCGAATAGGATTTAAATGCCAACGAAACTCTCCAAGTTGTGAAGAGCATTGGTGGTTCACCATGCCAAACACGCTATATGGCATGAACGTCAAAGTGTTAAGTAACGTTAACATAACACTTCGACAAAGTAACGTTTACATTGTGCGCATGTCCGATAGAGACCGGGAAATGTTGATTTATTCGAGTAAAATTTATTTATTCAATTCATGCTTTGGCGCATTCGACAATCGTGCTTCGCATTCCCGAAGAGCAACCCATTCAGATCTCTGAGCTACATTACTAAGGGTCTCTGTTATTGAGAAGTTTCCTTGATTTTTCATCCTGTGCACTTGTGGTCCAAATTCATACCGATACGTCTCATTTGAAGTTATCCTTGACTTGCAGCAGTTGCAATGCGTTCGTGCTACAGAACACTTTCACACAAGCTGGCGCACCATCGGACTCCCCCAAGGAGATCCAACGCTCACAGATACTTTTCCAGGGTCATTAGTGCGCATTTCGTAGAGTATCACTTCTACCACTACCATTAGCCTTCCTGCACAACACGACAACTGATGTCAGGATCCCTTCGGTTCACTTCTCCATAGGGAAACATGGAGCATGGAAGTGTTTGGGATTTCGGGCAACGCATCAATAAGCACCACGAGATTGAGTGCAACTTTCTTTCTCCTGC